TATATTTATCTGGAAGGTAGTAATAAAATTGACAGAGAGGATTAAGTTTATACCCATTCTCTCTATTATCAAGTCTACAGTTTTATTATTAGAAGGTAAACATAAAACTTTGTTTGTTGTCCCGTAAAACCCTTCCATCAACTCGAGAGTGTGCATTTTCATGAATATTCGAAACACACAGAAAGACTTAATATGAATCAAAGATTACATTTTTTTCCTTTAAATAATATAATAGCAATTACAGGATTTCAAGTATTTCAGTGTGATAAGTACATTGGATAACAACTATAGGTATTTATACACTTGCTTGTATAGTTATTTTCAAGTATATAAATATACAACGGATTCAACTGAGACCAAAATTAAAAGTCAAGAAAGAAGATTAACAAATATTATAAGGGATAAAGTGAGGATTTAAAGAGTTATATAATAGTTCAAGTGTTCCTTAAATTAGGTCACAAACTTCAAAAATAACTGAATAAAAACCGATCCTTGAGATTCATTTTTTGGAAATGAAAAAAATATATATAAAGAAGAATCCATTTATAGCAAAATTTTCATCCGGATAATCTTTTACTATCAAGAATTCTACACCTAACAGAGCTTGTAAAGGAATGTAAATAAAAATGAGTTTTTCCGAATAAAACTCCCACAGAAACTCCATGTAGAGGGTGATGAGGCAGGAAATGGAAAAAGGAAACCTACCATGAGAACAACAACAAAAAAGATAGATGCATAAATGTAGAATGATAACCTAGATCCTTTCAAGGAATTCACTATGGCGCATATTACTTATGTAATTTCGTAAAAAAAATGAAATTTACCTGAGACTATTTTAAAGCAGATGCTTACAAAAAAAGGTTAGTATAGATAAATGTTTAGTCCAAATCATTTAGATAAAAAAAATTGGTAGAGGAAACTTTTGTTAACATATTAGAATACATCGCTGTAGTTTACATCAACTCAATAAAGTTAAAAAATGGAAAAACTCAAAACAATATATAGCTTAATAATAATATGAATGAGTTTTTATCCCCCCCCCCCTCCCAATAAAATGATGAGTTTCAGACCCCCGACTTTAATTTCAAAAAGTAATGAATACTTAGTGAAACCTAAAACCTGATATATTTGCAAACCTAGGTTTCAATATAATTAGGAAACAAATATATAGAATGCAAACAGGTAAAACACAAAAGAGGACCTTTTATTTTGATCCATTGTGCTTTTTTTTTTATGGTTCAAACTTTCATTTCGTCATCCTTGGCTTATTTTTAACTATAAAAATTTCCGTATTTTTCCAAAAACTTATGTCCAGGTCCCCAAACTTTATCAGAGAAATTTGTGTTGAAATAAATTGAATTAGTAATTTTCTTTTCATTAGGAATACAGGGTAATTTTGAAATTTACACCAACCTTATATTTCCCAAGGCCCCTTCCCAGCTACAAATTAAATGCCCATACCTAATGGCTAGGAAAAGGTCCGAAAACTTCCAACATTAATAAAGAGAAGCGCTCCTGGAATTTTTAGGTATCACCTGTACCTCAGCTTAAAAAATAGTAACAACAGCGCCTGACATCGTACCTTTATAACAGTCAATAAATTGCATTTATCTAAATACTGGGTGCTCGGTGGGGATGGGGGGGAGAGAGTCTTTCTTGACACTTTTCCTCCCGCAGCTGGCCCTTGGCTTTATAGTCACTCAAGGCCCTTGTGGTGCCACATTTTTTGTGGGCCTGTGAAGACCAGATATTCCTCATTATAAGGATTAAAAAGATCCGATTACTACTTAGCGTGGGGCAATAATATTTTAACGCCCAAATTAGGGTTATATGAACTTGCGAAGATCCATTTATTAGTTTCGGTGGAGGTAGGGGGGGGGAGTTATGTCTAAAATAGTAGAAAGAACTTTTCATTATTAAGATTTAGATTTGCCACCTAACAAACATTTGTTTTCTGTTAAAAAGAGAGGTGCCCACCTTTTGTGATTTTTATTATGGCTGCCGACGTGAGAGATGGAAGAAAGCTAACTCCGCTTCTCATTATATGTATTCTACGAAATTTTACCTCATTTTTCTGAATGAATGTAGAATATGGCAGCAATTTTTATGCATTCTACTTTAGTAATTCATACTGTGTGTTTGGAAAAGAGGGTCCAAAGACCACGATATAGTTTTACTATGAAAGTATCCCACGCGGATCTGTGGGTAAGGAAACATCTTGCTTTTTCCAATTCTTCTTTTTGAGCTTATTATAAACCAAAAGAGCTTGAAGTAGTTGTTTTTGAATAAATTTCATTTTATCAAAATGGATATTGACCTTCGAAAGTGTATAACCTTGAAGCATTTTCAAGAAAGCAATAAAACGGACACATGGAATATATACTTTGTGATCGAATTTCTGACATAAGATTTAGTAAGTTTATTATTATTATTATTCGTAATAATCCTTTCGGCATGCAGTATGCTCAGAGTTCTAAGATATAGCGCGTTTTTTACAGCAAAATTATATAGATATATATTCAATAACTGTTTATTACTATTTAAATTTATTTAACTTAAGCATGACATTTTTTGAAGTTTTTAATAACACTGACGTTGCCTTATGGTCAAGTCATTTTGATACTGATTTCAATTGGTTTGTTTTTCTCAGCATTGAATACAATGATTGGTTCATGAAAAAATATGCTTTAGTTTAATGAACTTCTATTTGACTCATTTTTTCTTTGTTTAAACCCCAATAAGTTAATTCAACAATACCACTGCTTTCATTTCAATTACAAAGCCAATGGATCGCAACGAACTCAACAAGCTCCTCACCAAGCTCAAAAATCAGACAGACGAATTTATAAATTGCGCCAATCTCAATTTGAACGACAATAATCTGAATATTATCCTTGCCTTTTTTGAAAATGCACCCTTTACAGCCAAGTCTCTTGACTTTTCCGATAATAAGATTACTTCTATTGGTGCTCAGGAGCTAACCAAATTTATTGGTAACTACCCAATAAATGAGGTGAAGCTTTGTAATAATTTAATTGATGAAGATGGATGTAAGTCATTGCTTTCTTTATTTACCAAAGATCAGAATTTATCTACATGTGAATTATCTGGGAATCCTTGTCCTGAGCATTACATTCTTCGTATTCACTTTCTTGCTAAAGGCCGTGCTTACCCAGCGTCATTGAGAACCGCTCTTCTTACGAACTCTGCAGAAAAAGTATCTTTCGTCGGCATGAAATACTTGGATATGAATACGCGCATTCTTAAATATGTCATTCAGGGCCTTTTTAATTTGAAGGAAGTAGATTTTTCTGGAACAGGCTTAGGCGATAATGGAATAATTGAAGTTGCGCTCTTTTTAAAAGACTCCCAAATCGAATCAGTCATAATGAACGATTGCAGAATTACTGATGTTGGACTTGAAGAATTTATAAAATCGGCTGATCTTCAAAACCACCTCACATTAAAGCGTATTGATTTCAGTGATAACAAGGGCATCAGCAATATCTTCGCGCAACGCATTCCCTCATTGGTATTCAACACAAACTCAACACTTATCTTATGGGATCTTTCAGGTACTGATATTAAGAAGGATACTAAGATGGCAATTGAAAGCGAGTGCAAGCTAAACTTGCAGCCAAAGTTGATAAAAGATGCTGTTGTTTCCCTTCGTACTCGTTCACCTGCAGCAACTGAAATTAACTTTCAGTGGGTGAAAGATGTGCCTCAATGCGTACATTTTTTGTGGCCATACATTCGCGATAGCGTCGACATTGTAACCCTGAATTTGAGCAACGTTGGTCTCAAGGATGCCGATATGTCACTTCTTGCACAAGCGCTTTCCGTAAATACTTCACTACGCGTTCTTGAGCTTGCTAATAACAATCTGACCTTTGCGGGCATTAAGGCCCTATTTTCAGCCTTTCAGAAAAAAGAGTGTAGTTTAATGGAGATCAACTTGGCAAACAATAACCTTTTGGATGATTCTGCCGCCCTCATCATATCGGTTCTTCGTGCAAATTCACAAATTAAATTTATGAATGTGAATGTGAACCCTCAAATTTCTGAGGCCAATATCAGGGAAATTGTTGGACTTATTTGTATCAACCGTTCTCCACCCCTCTTGCGCTCCATATTGGTGAATTTAGAAAATAATTCTGAAGACACTGAGGAAATTGACCTTTCTATGCAAGATGTTACGATCAACGATCAGTCTTTGGGTCTTCTAAGTCGAGCACTTCAACAAAACTCTACTGTCACAAAATTAAATATTTCAAACAATATTATTGGTGACGTTGGTGCATTTTTTTTCGCTGAAGCCTTAACGATGAACAAAACTTTGGCAGAAGTTAACTTGGTAAATAATTCAATTGGTAACCGTGGTGTTGAAAAGTTATGTGAAGTCTTATATGTAAATGCTACTTTAAAATTTTTGGATTTATCGAATAACCTATTTGGGTATGATGGAGTGAAAGAATTCCCAGAAATGCTGCGTGTCAACAATTCACTAAGGACTTTGAGTATGAGTCGAACCCGTGTCCCTGAAGATTTCTCTATTACTATTCAACGTGCGTGTGATCTTAACCGTGATGCCCCTGAAGTGAAAAATATTTTTTACAGGCTACAGGACTCAGATGAAACGTTGAGCAAAATTGAACTTTCAGAAGTTCACAGGGAGTGGCCTTTGGACGATGTTTCAATGGCAGTTCTATGCCACGCGATGTGCGGTAAGCCCTTTGTGGGTCTCCTCGATTTAAGAGGAAATAACATTGGAAACAAAGGATGTAGACATTTACAGAGCGTATTGGTTGATGAAAACTGCAATATTTTTTGCCTGAATCTCTCAAAAAATCCTATTGACGACGATGGCTTTTCTGAGCTGATGAAGGTGCTTCCTGATAACAACTCTCTGTCGTACTTGGACGTATCCGAAACAAACATTACCATCACAGCCATGGAATATGCAATTTCTGCTCTTAAGAAGAACAATTGCCTTCGAACTATTATTATTGATGAACATATTGTTGGAGATATTGTGAAGGAAATGAATCGCCTTCTTGCTATTAATCGTGAGCCTTATGCTTTAAAGGAAGTTTTATGCCGAGATGACATGGAGTGTCCAGTTTTGGATGTCGATTTTCATGGCCAAGACCTTGGTGATTCAGCCTGTGAACTTTTCTGTCAAGCTTTTGCTCATAACGACACTCTGCGCTTTGTTGATTTTTCTCACAACTGCTTAACTTCAGAATCCGTGAAATTTGTCAACGCTCTAATTGCTACATGCACAAGTCTTGAAGCCTTGAACCTATCCTACAATGAGATTGATAATTCTGGCGCAAAAGAACTTATTAAATGTTTGGAAAACGTCCCTCATCTTCGTTTTATTGATATGAAGAACAACCTGTTATCGAATGACAACGAGGAGCATATTTCATATTTGGTTAAGCTTAACACTGGGTCTTTGAAACTTAAACAAATTCTTCTTAAACGTGAATGTGGAGGAGAGTTGGATGAGATGATTAACTTGAACGGTAAAAGCAATAAGTACAACCTTACAGATGACGAGGTTTTGACACTAGCTGCAACACTCAGCAGTGTAACGAGCGTTCGTGCCTTGGATTTGGGAAACAACAGTATTACCGATGTAGGATGTGTCGCACTTGCAGAGGTTCTTCGAAACAATCATTCAATAGAGGCACTGTATTTAGATCAGAATCCTCTCGGCGCGGCCGCTGGTGAAGCTTTATTTTACGCCCTTAAAATTAACCCACAACTTCATACACTTATCCTTGAGGGTACTCAAGTTCCGGAAGAAATATTGGAAGATATTGATTCTCTTTTACATGTTAACCAGACACCACTAAAGGACCGAATTAATATGCGCGACGTTCCTTTGGAGGATCTCAGCGATACGGTGCAGTTCAGATCAACTGACTACTATACCTCACAGGCTTACAACGTCGAGCGCGATGCACTATACGGGTTGTGCAAGCCTGCATTAATAAAGAATTGAATGGTCAATTTTGTAATATGCTTTTATATTTCAACTTGATCGATTTTAGTAAAATCACCATATTTATTCCAGTCAGTATATATAGATGTACTTGCTTCATATTTTTTTTATATATTTTAGGCGTATAAGCAATGTAGGATAGAAAAAGTTCGAAGTATCAACTGTGTCCAATGTTATGTTTTTATTATTATTATTATTTGCTCATTTTATTATGTAGATTTAAAGTTCTCACATTATTCAGCGAATATGTATTTACTAACTTTTTTATTAATATATATATTTTTTATTGTGTTTAATAACTTTTCTATTTTTCAAGACTGAAATGTATAAAATCAACTTTTTATGATCCTTATTGATCGTGATTTTAGCGATTTTATAAATATCGGTATGAAACTGCCCATTATCTAAACAGCATACATGGCATTTTAAATTTTAAAGTTATGAGTAGCATATGTTTAGTAGACTTTATTTCTTTCTTTTCTATTTTATTTCTTGATTAAGGTTGAAATTAAACTTCAGGCAAATATTGTGTAATATAATTAAGCTTCTTTTTTTAAATCTGTAATGATTACAGAATGTGGGAAAAATGCACATGAGCCGCTTTTTGTGCTACGACAGCATGATAGCCCAGTTCTCTCGTGTTCATTTTATCCTTCGCCACATAATAATGACGAATCTAAACTTTTTATTAGTGGGGACACCAGCGGAACAGTCATTCTTTGGGATTTGTCACTTCGGAGGCCGCTTTTGTCGTTTCATTCAACAAAATGCGCGATAGAGCAGAATTCTACTAAAGAGTTGTTCACTCTTTCAATTGAAGGCGTTCTTGCCGTAGGATTCTTTTGCCCCAGAAACATTAGTAACATGAAACCAATGCAAAATAACAATGCCTATAGTGGCTCACTTACATATCCGGGAGAACAAAGTGCTCTTTCCACGGAGGGATCTTCTAGTTTTAGCAACAGCACTGTGAGTGTTTCCAGGCGTCCTCCACGCCGTCGTTTTCGCCTCTTTCATGATTCTATTTATCAAAATACTAACAATATGAAGCATTTGAAAACCGTATATATTTATAGCCAATGCCGCAATCAGCACCTCTACATATGGGAGTGCAAGCTAAACGACGAAAAAGTATCTTTGCCATTGAACAACACAACACCGCGTTTACTTCATATTGTACAAGTTCCGCAACATGGTTTTTGCACTGTCGCAAGCTATTATGAAAGTAATGGATCTACCCTTCTTGCGGTGCCACATGATGCTCAGGGTATCATTTCTCTTTGGCGTGTTTCTGTCGTATCGACAATGAATGGAAACGAGAGCACAAAGTGTCGAACACCTCAGGAGACCTTAGTCGAAGATTGTTCTTCCACAAATGACTGTACTTCAGTAGCATCCCCCGATACTGCAGCCATAGGTCCTCATGCCACATTAGATGCATGTGAAATAGCCAAACAAGGTTCGCAACACTGCACATTGCCCCAAACAAGACTGTCATTGGATACTGTGCACTCAACCGGATTTACTGATGCTGCGATAAACAGCCCCTTGCACCTTCACTTTCTCGGTAGTTTTTGCACATGCAAAGGATTTAAAGGTGGCACCATTATGCACATCTATATCAAAGATGAGCACGATTTAATTGTGTCATTTGAGAGCGGTCATGTTGTGCTGTGTCAGTATCACGCACTTTTTTACGGAGCACAACAGGGCAACAGAGGAATGATACCATGTAAGGAAGTTAGAGTTCCGCTGAAAATTCTTGGCATTGTTCGAGCTTTTCCAGAACCTTCCATATCGTGCTTGTATCACGCACATCGAGTCCTGGTCACTTCTGCTGAAGGCCGCGTTCATTCCTATCGTTTGATTTATCAAAATCGAAAGATAGTTGAGGAGGGCGATATTCAAGATAACTGTCATTGTAACGTAGCCGCACGCCTCAAGTCTCCAGAACAAAGTGAATCTGTACATTTCTTTACGGTGTGGCGGCGTAAATTTAACAAGGGACTGGGTAGTGCAGTACTTCAAGATGATTTTGCTGTGTTGGGCTGCTGGGACCACAGTCTTCGAGTGCTCGATGGACGCACTGGCAACGTTCTTTCTGCGCTACCTTTTCACACAGAAGCTGTCAACAGTGTTTGTATTGCACCTTCTACTGTCGCGATGGAAGCATCCTTTGGATTTGATTCTCGTCAACCTTGGTGTTATGAATATCAGCCTCGTATAAATAATAAAAACTCTGATGACTTGCATGAAAAGAATGCTGGAGTATATGTTTTTGCCTCAGCTAGTAATGATGGATGTATCGCGTTGTGGCGAGTTGATTTTTTTGCAATACTAAAGAATCAAAAGGAAATCAAAAGGGTTTCTTCAAAATTATCGGGGCAAAAAAAGGATATTTCAGATACAGGTGAAAGTGGATAAAAAAGGGAAAGCAAGTTTCAGTTAACATCTTGTCATTTTCTTTGTTTTTTGTATTCGAATTGTTGTTTACAAAGAGAGGGGGTGATAAGTATCCTTAACTATATTACTCTCTTGCTCACAGATAATTCTATATTTCCAAAAAAAAATCATTTCTTGCAATTGATTGTGGTCTAACTCGGGAGACAAAAGTTGACTAAATAAGTTTTCTGAGATAAATTCATCTTTCGATAATATTTTAACATTTAAGCACCTCATTGTCAAGATTTATGGCTAGGGCATTTATATAAAAAAGTTTACATAAGAAAGGACTGAATCATTGAAGTCAGTCTCAAAAATACGTGTTTCCCTTGATATAAGTTTGACTACAACAAGTAGCACAGTATAAAACTCGAGCGCTACTAACATACACAGCCAAGGTTCTGATTGTTACAAAGATAATCAAGCTTTTAATTTTTCTACATATCTTTGCATATCTCGATTTTTATCGTTTTTGAAAAGGGTTAAACTATTTGAGGAAGCTCCCTACGGCTCAGAAATAAGTGCGAAAATAAAGCATAGCGAAGGTATTTTTGAACGTAAGCCTTAAACACGTCTTAGAGAAATACCACGACCAGGATCAACAGTAATTAAAGGAGCACTTTTAATTGCTCCTTTCCATATTTCCTTCTTTATTTTGCTTTGTTTTTTTTTTTGCTTTATTATTTTAACACCGGAAATACTGTTTTTATAACAATAATTTTTTTGAAACCAAATACGATTTTTTTTTAAAGATTTACTTTTAGGAGTCTGTTCTATTTTTCCCTATTAGCGGATTCAGTAGTCTACAAAAGCTCCGAAAGCATTTGCGCTTCAATTATATATATATATTTACATCATAAATTTTTGAAGGGAACGACGAACATTTTAGGTCGAGGTAAACCTCTAAGACTTATTCCAATTTCCATTGACCAATAAGTGTAAAAAGCGCAAATTTATAGAATTCAGATCAATTATTTTTCCTGTGCTTGACCTTATTTGAATCAATTTACAAAAATAGAATTCAATTTATACCCGGGTTATTGAGGAAGTAATTGACAATAATACCTTCCCCTCGACATTGGAAAGGTCCAAACTAACACAGTTATTCATAAACGAGGTAATAATACGTAAATATATTTATGAATTCTTATATACCACCAGGATCTTTTAAGGGAGGTCGCTATGTTCCAAAGAAGGTTCTTGGTATCGGTACCTACGGCCAGGTTTTGCTTTGTGCAGATCAGTTGATTAAAGGATATGTGGCAATCAAAGTGGCGCAGTGCAATCCAGCTTATCGACGTTCTGCAATGAATGAAATTTGCGCCTTGCAGAAACTCCTTAATAATTCTGAATGTGTTAAGTTGTTAGATGTCTTTGAAGACAACGGTCATGTGTGTATTGTTACAGAGTTATTGGACAAAAACTTATTTGAGTTGTTGCGTGATCGTGGATTTAGCCCATTACCAATTTCAGATTTAGGAAAGGTATGTAAGCGCGTCTTGCAGGCCCTTAGTGCTCTCCATAGAGTGGGTTTCATGCATTGCGACATCAAACCTGAGAATATTATGTTACGCAAGCAACTTGGTATCGATAAATCCATCAACAATACATCCACGTGTATCAACAAGTATGCATCGAAAGTAATTTCAAACAAAATAACTCAGCTTGACCACAATAACGGGGAAAATAATTCATATCAAAGATGTATCCAGGATGAGTTTGTTACGTTTTCATTAAGCGGTTCATTAGACTCCGATGAAACTGAGGTCGATTTTGACCATACATGTTTAATAGACTTTGGAGCTGTTCGACAATTCAATGAAAACGATTACTATGATGTGCAGTCTCTGTGGTATCGCGCACCAGAGGTTCTCTGTGGCCTACCCTACACGCCCAAGATTGATTCATGGAGCATGGGCTGTCTTTTAGCGGAGCTTTACTCCGGAAAGCCTCTTTTTCCCGGTGAAAACGTAGAGGAACAGCTCTCAATTATTATTCAACTTGCAGGGTATCCATCTAAAAATGCTCTGACTTTAGGGAGCAACCTCAAACAGCTCCGTCTGCTCGGTTTGTACCATAAACCTGAAGGAAACGCATTACAAATAAGTAATTGGATTAGGACTTGTCGCCATAACAACCTCCAACCACTCCAGAATCAGCTCGCGCCCCAGTGTTATCTACGAAACCAGAAGTTGGGCACTGACAAGCTTCTCAACATCCCAAGTAACGGTAGCATATTGAATGCACAAGTCAATCCTGAACCAAATTTGCACAATCTGACCTCTTCTGCGGATGAGACTTTACTGATAGATCTTATTATTCGCTTGTTATGCCCTGACGAGCAGTATCGCCTGAGTTGCGAGGAGGCTCTCCAGCATCCCTTTCTGAATGCGTCAGTATCCCATAAATACACGTCTTTTCGCTTCACTAACTCCTCTCAGCAGCTACCAACCTTAAGCTCTTTTTCCAGGAGCACCAGTTTCCCGGTCTCTTCGTTGATCGACCGGACGATGTCACCCATCCCAGGCTTCTCTCTCAGGGACTATTCCCCTCTTTCGTTGGTGAACTCCACGTCATTATCCGACCTCAATCACTACCCGCACTATTCCCACGTCCGCTCGCTGCACCCGTGGTCGACGCATTTGGCTACGCAGCTGCTGCACGGCGGTGGGGCCGACCTCCCTTCCAACGCCCTCCCCCCTTCCCTCCCCCCTTCCCTCCCCCAGGGCCGCAGCCGTCGTGGTTCCTCCTACGTCGTGATGCTCCCGTCGTCTGTCTCGTCCCCTCGCGAGGTTTACCGCGTGCCGGGGGTGGTCCCGGTCGCGGGCTCCAGCCTCTCACAGGAGAAGGCCCCCGTCCCCCCCAGCCTGTGCACGCCGGTCTATCTGTCCATGGCGCCGAAGTGCCTGGTCCCCATGGCTCCCTCACTGGACCTCTACAACGGCCATCCCAGCAACGGGCTTCGGCGACTCGGAGGGAATGTGGGGTACAGCTACGGGGATGGCACGGGAGGGGTGGGTCGCGTCCCGTTCTATCCCGCTCACTACGTGGTGCCTTGCCCGGGAGCCGTTATGGCATTTCCGTAGCCCAAGACAACCCGCATCGACAAGGGTAAACGAGGTGTAGACTGGATGAAGGTGGATCAAAAGGTCTATCACCGAATAGGTGTTCAGTTGTAAAAAATATTCTTCATTATGAGTCTCCAATAGGATGTGAAGTGATCATTTATAAAATAATATTCCTACCAGTGCTTCAAAATTCAAAGAAAATTTGACTTCGCTTATAAGGCGTGACTTTTTTCTTTGTCAATATTTTACATAAAATAAACAAGGACGTCAAACAGTGAATAATATATGTATATACACATTTTTTAAACTATATTTTAGTAAAGGAGTGCAGTAAAATCGCCTAATTTTTTTTTACTTTCCTTTTGTGTGCATCTCTTACAAGATTTATATTCAACCTTTTTTTTTTTCAAATTAATTTTTTTTAATTTATCGGTGTCCGCACCTCTACAATTTGCTTCTAACCTTTATTTTAAGTTGAATTATTATTATTATTTTCATCTTTATGACTTATTTCTTTTTATATTAATGTATATTTTTTCCACTGTTTTTGCTTCATTTTTTTCCTATCCCTTTTACGTTGTATTCTTACACAGCATGTATCACAAATATATTTATATGGATTTATATCTATTTAAGCTTGCAATGTTTTTAATTCGTGCAAATCGAAAGATGAACCAAACGTTAAATCTTTTTAAGAATAAATGCACTTACTGCTATTTTTAAAACAGGAGCAAAGGTGAGGATAACCTTATTTTTACATTTGTATACAATTTTGTCTATGCAATATGCTGCTTATTTTATAATATAAGTTTAGTGCGTAAGAAGCAAAAATATTATCTTTTACTAGTTAAGCGCTTTTAAATGTTTTTCATAGTTTTGAACGCGGAGCATCGCCTTCTGAAGTGTAAGCCTCGCTGACGAAATGATATCACATTTTTGAGAAGGGTTATCATCAAGGTTGGCTATCTCATTCATAAATTTCTCGCATCTTTTTCTGGTTAGAATAAACATCCATATACAATGCTAAAAATAAAAAAGGAAAAGTGTAAACAGGAGCCAATCAAGACTTTATATACAAAAATTTTTAATTTTGAAGTCTTTATTTATTGATACTTTTTTCGGCATTTTGAGTTAGCTATATATATAAAAGTAGCATGCTTGGTTCCTTATTGCGTTTTTTCCCTCTTTTTTTCATTTTTTATGATTCCTGAAGTGAATCCTAATACTTTTTCTATTCAAAGTGTTTTTTTAATCTGAAATCGTTCTTTTTTACAAACATATCTTATTGCTTACAAATTTACTATGGAAAGCATGCAAAATATATAGCAACAATCGTTTTTTGTAAATATATATATTCATATATTTAGACTTATACATATATTATTACTTTGAGTTTTTATAGGTTTCGTCTTGTGTTTTTTTTATTATAAATTCTCGGGCTAAAGTTTTAATTTTCTGTGAAAAATACGTACATTCTATAGTAATTAAACAGGAAAGCTAGGATGAAACACAAATCTGTAGTATACATTTCTTTATAGTCCAAGCTGAGCGATTGTCATTGGTTTATACTCTTTTTTTCCATTGTTTTTATGTCAACGATTGTCGCCATAAATCAACAAGCATGGGTAAGTACTACCAATATGTGTCTTTTCCCTTTTGAAAATCTCCTATTTTTCCCAAACACTACCCAAAAAAATAATACATCGTCCCCATACCTATTTCATTGTCTTTGTTAGGCACAAGTAACCCTAAAGAAGACCATAAAAATGAATGCATCAGCGTAAACCTAGTAAATAAAATTAGAGTAGCTAGCGAAGAGTTTTTTGGCACGTAAATAGAAAATAATATACAACTATAATCTGTTTGTGTCCTAGTATCTATAACTAATTTATACGACGGGGAGGGTGCATCATC